CTCGATTACGGAAGTGGTTGTGGGGGAGCGTTTTGGGCCGCACACGATCTGTGGGGTGATCAAGTGGAAGAGTTTCATTTGGTTGAGCCAAACGATCAGATCAGTCGATTTTGTATGGATATTTTACGGGTGCGACTTCAGTCTCAATCTCCCATATTGAAAATTGTATCGTAAAATTCTTGAAAGATTTTCTCCACGATTCGAATATTTCCGATTCAACTGTCCACGATTCATCTTCTAACAAGTCCAATTGCTGGAATAACATCAGAGGGATGAGTTGTTCTTTGTTATTAAGGGTGCAGATGATGGCACAAATAGAGGAGCGTTTATTCATCCGAATGTGAATTTTCGACGTTTTATCGCACCATCGCCATCCAACAAATACGATCTTATAATAGCGCATCGTCTATTCGTTGAGCTTGGCTCACACCAGTCGCGTATGGATCTTATCAATACGCTTTGGAATAGAGCAAATAAGTGGGTGCTACTGCTTGTTTGTTTTGTATGGAAGTTGATTCAGCCAGAGGCATTCAAGCGATTTTGAATTTTCAACAGCAGATTACGCAAACTTTCTTTATTCGTTTTATATCGAATCGAAGAAAATCATTTGAAGAGTTTAGCGGAAGCATTGGAATATTATCGAATTGATGAGATACTCACGATAGTTTTTTTTCGTTTTCATACCATTGCAAGCGTACACTTCAATATTTGGGAATGTCGTTTGCAAAAGAAATTTTGAATGCAGATTTTTGGTACTGATCGACTCGAATTTGGACGATAGTTTCAAAGCGTTGATGGAGGCTCGTGATTTCATTCTAATTGCTGGTAGTGAAATTCATGCTGATGAAATGAGACGGTTAATTGATGAAATGAGCCTGGAAAATGCTGACGCTATCGAGACAGTGCTCAACGATAGAAGCTTGTCGAGTTTCGAGCGATTCACTCTTTTAAGAGAAATGGTCAGTGCTGATTTCTCATGATTTGGAGGGAACCTATCAATTTCTCTTGAGTCTACATTCTTTTTAATGTAATCTTATGTTTGCATTTATCCTATTCCGAATGAAATGTTTGTTCGTAATGGACCGAACCGTTGGTCTTTTTTAGGTTCCATCCGAAATTCAGCTACCTACACGTGTACCAACGGGTTTCGTTTATGCGCCTTGCCCTCATGATCAAGGTTGTCCTAAGCTTTCATCGAAACACAAGTAATTACGATTGTTTTCTATCAGCAGTACTTATTCTCTGTCTCAAGCACTTTCCATCCTATCGCATTGTATCTATGAATTGTGATTCGGTGCTTTCGGATATGGCCACATTTCATTTTGTGGACAGAACGAAAAAATCGCTCGTAAGA